CAAAAATTTTACGTAATATACTCTAATACACTCTAAGTATTATTCTATATACATATAGTATTAATATATATCATTATCAATATGCGCATTATTATATATGCGTATTATTGTGCGCTATATCAGAGTATTATCTACGCGACTAATTTTATTAAATTATTCAATTTTATAGCTAAATTTGAGTTGACGTTAATACTCGTTATTATAGAATCTTATTATCACAACGTCAATTATTAGAACTTTTCTTTTTTTATACGTATTGCTATTAAACTGATAGAACTAGCGAAAAAGATTAGAATAGTTACTGAACCGGCGGAATTTGGGCGGATTCTAATCAGATTTGCTGATCCGGCGGATTTTGTGATTTCCGCGACAAACGCGCGATCAGCAATTTCAAATTTTGCAGGAACTTTTCAGATTTGCAGATGAGATATTTATCTTTTAAATGCTATAATTTAAGCTATAATCTCTTTAAAAGATAAGAGTCTAGCGAGCGTGATTTATATATATAGAAAGATATTAGATATAATTATAAAGCTCTTCTTTAATAGTAAGATATATAAAAAAAGCGATTAGTAGATTAGTGCTTTTTTAATAGAAAAATTATATAAATAAATAATATCTTCGAGTATTCTAGAATAGGCGATAATACGTATTTTCTTATTAATATAATATAGAAGCCTCGCGATAGAATTATTAACGGTTTTAATATTAATATAATATTTTCATATATTAAATATCTTTATTCATTTTTAAAGGTATCTTTAGCTTTTTCTACTTTTTTCACTTTTTCTAGACTTCTCCGACTTTCCTATTAATTAGATATTTATTAATTTATATTTTATTCTTATAGATCTCGTCTATAATAATAATAACTTGATCTTTAATTTTAGATTAATTAGAATTTTAAATTTAGATTCTTAAGCTAATATAGCGATAATAACGATAAGATATAAAGTATATATCTATCTTCTTATAATTAGCTAGAGTAAATAAGTAAAATAAATAAATTAAATATATAGATTATTATTATACATCTTATTATCGATTTAAAGAAGATATTATAATATAATATTAATAGCGATATAGATAGAGGAAAGGCGATATAATTTAAAGTAAAAAAGAGATTTATATCTTATAAAATATTAGAATAAAATAATAATATAGAATTATTTAAAGTAAAGAAGAAAATAGAATAACGTAGTTAATATAAATATTATAAGTATTAATTTCGGAATATTAAATTTTTTTCTATTTTTAAATATATAACCGCGCTATATTCTCCGCTATTTCGATTATATTTTATTAATATATTATATATTAATTCTAATAACTATTCTAAATTAGATAAGATAATTTCGAATAATATATTTATATTAAGAGATTTTCGAGAAATATACTTTTAATATTATTTCTACTTCTTCGCTAATATTAAGCTATACGATATTTTATTATCTAATTTAAATCTTTATATCGAGCGTGAGAATAAGAAGTTAATATATATTAATAGTAGCGCGTAAGCTATTAAAATACTCTTAAATTCACTTAATCGAGTAGTAAAAGCGTATAAAGGAATTTACTTAATAGATTATAATTATATTAAATAATAAAGTATTATAGTAAGTTACTTAATAATTTCATATTCTATTTAGATATTTTATTATACTATTATACTACTATACTACTATACGATATATCGCCGAATATATAAATATTATAGAAAGCTATTTTAATCTTAATAGGGGCTTATTCTAAAAAAAAAAGTAGCGTTATAGTTAATGCTATAAATTGATTATCTTAAGCGTATATTTATTAAATATAATACTATTTTTCTCTCTAGATAGATTAGTTATATTTATTTATATTATATAATACTTATTTGATATATAGGCGGATATATAGTTAAAGCTTAGAGAAATAATAGTATTGCGTAATAATATTATATAGATTAATAGCGTAGCGTAGCGTTTATCTTAGTTATTTAAATAATAGATATAATAGCTATTAAGTAAACTAAGTAGGTATTTATTATCTAGATATACTAATATAAATGTATAGTTAAAGATATTAAATATAGTTTATATAGGGTTGCTTATAGTGGATTAATATATAATAAGCCTCTAATATAAAATTAATATTATATTATTCCGTTATCAGTATGTTATTAACTGCTTATTAACTGTTTATTGATACGTAAGTTTAAAAAAACGATAAGTTTTATTAAACTTTTCATGAGCGAGAAGAATAGGTGCTTCGTATTAACACATTATGAAAAATGTAAATTGTTCGAAATAGGTTATTTCGTCTAATCCGGTGTGTAGTCTTTATTATACAGTTCACACCATTCGTTAAAATGGCCAATCTAAGTAAAATAGACCTAAAATTCCCGTCATTACTAGGGCCCATAAGGTAATAAATAATAAATCTAAGTTTAAAAAAAAAATTATATAAATAATATAGATTAAATTATTAATATAGATATAAATATAATATTTAATTAAATAATTTATATTAAAAGTGTTTAAACTAAGAACTCTCGCGTAATTAATTAAATTTATTATATTAAAGATTCTTATATAAATCTCCGCGAAGGCGCTTTTTTATTAATTAATTAGAGAAAATTTAATCTTAATCTTATAAATATTAAAGATCTTAAAATTATTAAAAATTTAATAGCTATTTTAATTATAAATATAACGTCTTCTAATACTTCTTTAAATTTAATATTTTTCGAAATATTAATAATACGCTATTTATTTAATATCTCTTCTATAATAAATATTAATATTATTAAATATTATTATTTATTTAAAAGCTTATAAATCTTAATTTCTTCTTTTAAATTTATAATTAAAAATTATTTTTTTACGAAGTATACGCTATTAGCGTGAATAACTATCTTCTTAATAAGATTATATAATTAAAAGATATACTTTCTCTTATACTTTAGTAATATATATTTTTTATTTTAATCTATAAACTTTTTCTAAATTTATTTTATTATATAAATAATAAAATTAATTATACGTAAATAAAAAAGAATAAACTTTCGTTAATAGAAGGTCTTAAAAAGAATTATAATAGTTTTAATATTAAGTAATTATATTATTAGATAATTAATAATAATAATAATTTTAAATTAAAAGAATTTATTAAGATTAAAGCTTAAAAGAATAAGATATATCTTATATAGTAAAATTTATTTAAAACGCTTAATTATATTATTTATTTAAGAATTATTAAAAATAATAGATTTCTATTTAATACTCGATAGAGCGAGATAATTAAGAAAGACTTTAGATATATATTTATTCTTATTATTAAGATAAATATAAGAAATTTTATAATTATATAATTTAAGATAAATTTTAAATTATAAAAATATAGCGAAGATTTTACTTTTATAATAAATATAGTAAACTTTAAAATAAAAGATAAAATTATTTTTAAATATTATAAAGTATTTATAATTATTAAAATTAATAGAAAATAAAGACTCTATAAAATCGCTATAAATAAATTTACTTAATTATATATTAAGCGTAATAGAATTAATATAAAAAATAACCTTCTAATATCTTATAATATAATATTTATAAATATATTTATTCGCGATATTCTTAATAAAATCTATATCTACCGTTATAGCGAAGAGTTTATTTAAATTTTATTAATCTAAATAATTTATATAAATATATTAAAGTTAATAAATTAAATTTAGAAAAATATTATATATCGTTAAGATATTATTTAAATTATTTTAAAAATCGAGAAAAAATAAATCTTAATTATAAGTATTTATAAGCTTTAAATCGTCTTTAATTAAAGCGTAATTAATCTTATAAAAAACGATTACGATATTAAAATCTAAGAGTTTATTAATAAAAAGAAGATTAATATTTATATTAAATATATATAAGATATTAAGTAGAGTAATATTTATACGCTTATTTTAAACGAAGTAATTTAAATTAATAATATCGCGATTAAGAGATTAAACTTAATTACTCTTAATATCGCGAATAGAATAAGAGTAAATCTTTTTATAAATAATAAATATTAAATAATTAATAAAAAAATAGTGAAAGTAATTAAAATTTATTATTATATTAGAATATAGATTAGCGAAATTAGCTATTATTAAATTATATTCTAAATTAAAATTAATTACTATTAAGTTAATAACTTTCTTATTATTAACTATATTAAAAATATTAAAATCGTTAGAATTAAGATTTATATAATATATAATTAAATCTAATTCTTTTAGAAAGATATAATTAATATTAAAATACTTATTCTTCTCTAAAATAAAGATATTAAAAGATATTTTTTTAATATACTTACGCTTAATATTAAAGTTCTTCTCTATATTATTAAAATTAATCGCGATAATTTAAATCTTCTTCTTCTTTTTCTTATTTAATATAAATTTTTTAGATTTTAGATAAAAAAACTTAATCTAGTATTTAGTAGAGAAATATCTAAATTTATATTTAACGATCTTATATAAAAAGTAAATTTCGCGATTAATTTTTAAATTATTAATTTTATAATATCTAGCGAATTACTTATTTTTATCTTTATCGCTATTATTATAAATACCTTAGAGGAAATACACGATTGGGGTATATCACGTGACTGTACTATCAACTCGATATTTGTTATAACTTTCAATCAACTTTCAATCAACGTCTCATTGATATTAGGATTTCGATAACATTAAATTATTCGATATTCGAAATTAATGGATAATTATTTCGTAATTCCCTTATTATATATTAAGGTTTATACTAATTCGGGTATCTCGCTTCGCTTATAATAGCCTATTCATCAACGTCACGTGATTTATTTTTCGATTTTTGGATTTTTCTCGAAATTTGATATACAGTCTACCTGGGCTATAACGATATATCGTTTCATGGAGATAGTATCGTTACAACCAAATTATCGTTAAGCCTAGATTTGCACTAATTACTACTGAAATACGCCTGAATCGATGCCTACTTTTGCGCAGAAGCCTTACGAGCCCTGATCTCTCTTTCATATCGATTTAGACGTGTGATTAGTACATCATCGCCGTCGTTTTGTTGTTCCTCGTATAATTGTAGACGTTCCAGTAGCTTTAGGGCCTCTGAATCCTTGACACGAGGTAATTTCTCCAAGAACCAGGCCTGAAGCGCCTGTGTCTTGCGCTTATCACCTGATTCAGTCGCATTGTATAGACGTAGGTCTCGTCGTTCAGCGTCAGTAACTGCCCGGCGTCGTTTTCGAGTAGAATTAGGCGGTGGGGGGGAGATAGGTGCCCTTGGACCACTGAAATCCTGTTTCAATGGCGGCGATGATGGCGAGGATATATTGTTTAGGGCTATTGGATATAACGATATTACTGAATTTACTGGGCAAATGCTAACGATATCGTAGTAGACAAGTTATCGTTATTCTACACCAAAAATAATCATTGCATGGCTGTGCAATCGTTACAACCAGAATATCGTTATGTGGCGAATCGTTATAGCCCAGGTAGACTGTATAAGTAAGATATATAGCCCTATAGGGCTGTGGGACTTAGAGAAATCTTCGAAAAACTTTATATATTACCGCTAGCCATTAATTCTCTACTAGTAATATATTAATGTATTACTTTATAGCGTAGTATTGAAATAATAACAAATCGATATCTCTTTCATATTTCATTGACTGTCCATTAACTATCCATTAATAATAAATTTGACTGAATCTACTATAAATAGAAAATTTTATATAACTCTATTCGACATACGTTATATAGAACGTAAAATCTGAATATATCCGGTGTGTAGTCCTTATTATACAAATCGTATAATTATAGTTAATGACTTATTAATTTTCTATTAATAGTAAATACCCATGTGTAGTAGCTCCCGTAAGGTAGCGTATATAATAATATTATTATCTTTAAATAATAGTAGATAAATCTCTTTATTTATCGCGATATAAATAATTTTATTAAATTTAATAATCTTATTATTATATAGCTTATAAATTTAAGTATAAATAATTATAAAGATATTAAAAGAGTTCTCGAGTTTTATAAGAAAGAGTTAAATTAGAAAGAGTTTCGATAAAGCGAGCGATTTATATAGACTAGCAATTTCGATAATAATTTTATAAAAATCCTTTTTATATTAATAAATATCTCTTTTAAATATAAAAGTAATATTAAATAATTAACGAATTAGCTTTATATAGAGTTTAAAATTTTAAAATTTATAATATTTAACGATAATATTTAATATTATTTAAAAATCTTTATTATTATAATTAATCTCGATAAGCTAGCGATTATTATATTTAAGATATTAAAAAATAGCTATATAAATCTTAAGCTTTATAATTTTAATAAAAAATAAAAGATTATTAAGTATTAATTAGTTTTTAATATTTTATCTTTATTTAATATATCTTATATTAGATTTTAAAATAGCGATAAAGATTAAAGAGAAATTATTTTTATTAAATTAGAATTAAACCTTAATCGTAAAGCGCTATAATTAATTATTTAAATTTATTATTATTAAAAAATAATTTAGATAAAAATATATAAAATATTAATAAAGAGAATAATAGCGATAATAATAATAATAATTTAGCTACTATTTTAAATAAAATAATAAATTTAAAAAAAGATTTTAAGAATAACTTCGAAGTAAATATAATAGACTTTTTAATATAAAGATTAAATAATTTAATATCGCTTAAAGAATTAAAGGTATTTTCGCTAGCTTTAAATTTAAGATTAATAAAGCTATTATTTAATAAAATAATAAAAATAAAATAAATACTTTAATTATTATTAAAGATTTTAAAAATTTTATTAATACTAGTTAACTATTATCTTTAAACTTTAAATTCTTATATAAAAAATAAAAAGTATTTATATATAGAGTTGCGATAAATATAGATAATATAATTAAAATAAAAAGTACTTAGTAATAAGAATAACTTATAAATAAAGATTAATTTCTAATAAAATTATATAGAGTATAATTATTATAAATATATAAACCTCCTTCTTAAAGAGAAATTAATATTCTTCTTATATTACTTATTTAAGAATTTAGATTTAAAATATTTATATCGCTAATTATTATTATAAGACTTCGAAGATTATTCTAGCTTTATAATTACGATAATAAAATATAAATAATTATAAAAAAAAAGTTTAATAATAAAACTTTAACTCTCTTTTTTAAGAGGCTTTTAAAAGTTTAGAAGCTAATATTAATAAGATATTCTTATTATTTTAATCTTAACAAGTAAAGGCCCATGAATTAAATTTATGGAGTTGGATTTTTCTAAGTCAAATCGAATTTTAGCCCTAGCCCTAAGTTAAATCGAACTCTAATCGCTTGCTATGCGTTTTTGACCTACTTCCACCACTACAAAATTAATTTAATCTATATAATATACAGGCACATATATGCGGAGAGAGGCGCGCTATCGAGTGTAGAGGATTAATCCATAATAATTACCCATAAAAAACAGAGAAAGGCCATATCCTTATGGCAAGAAGTATCAAAATACCGGAAAGAAATGAAGACAATATGCCAATTAATAATGTAAATCCCATATTATCTTCTACCGCAGTGAAATCTTTCGAATAATAAAATAGCTATAGATATCGGACAATCTTAATTCATTCAAATATATATCGTTCGATATTCCTTCTACAGAAGTCTAATTAACTATAATCGTCGCAGTAGATCCTCCTCTTATAACGTTATTACAGTAATATACTATATTAATATAGTGGGGATAACAAACTAAGTTACAGTGGTATTCTTCGCTTACTAAGTAATAATTTAATATAAAACCGTAGAGAGTATATAACGTGGGATCTTGGAGAGTTAAGCCGTGTTCTTAGTGCTGAAGATCTTATTACCGCTTGGTTTCTCCGCAATATTCTCCGTATTCGCCTGCTATATTAACTTCTCTTATACTAATTAAGTAGATTAATATGAGATTGTGGAGAGAAGGCCTATTATATTACTACTGCTGATAACTATCTCCGCAATATTCTTTATAGTATTCTCCACATTCGCCTGTTATAGTTCCTCCTCTTATTTTTTAATATAGTGAAGATAACAGACTAAGTTATAATGGTGTTCTTCACTTATTAAGTAATAATTTAATATAAAACAGTGGAGAGTATATAACGTGGGATCTTAGAGAGCTAAGCCGTGTTCCTAACGATGGTAGCCTTATTAACGCTTAATTTCTCCGCAGTATTCTCTATAGTGTTCTCCGCAATATTCTCCGCATTTGCCTATTATAGTTCCTTCTCTTACTCCTTAATACAGTGGGGATAATAGACTAAGTTATAGTAATATTCTCCGCTTACTAAGTAATAATTTAATATAAAACCGTAGAGAGTATATAACGTTAAATCTTAAAGAGCTAAGCCGTGTTTTTAACGATAATAGCCTTATTACCGCTTAATTTCTCCGCAGTATTCTCCACATTTACCTATTATAATTCCTTCTCTTACTTCTCCTCTTATAGAGTATTAAACTAAGTGACTAGCTAAGTAACTAACTAAGTAAATAACTAATATAACGTGGAATCTTAAAGAGCTAAGCCGTATTCTTAATAATAGTAGCCTTATTACCGCTTAGTTTCTCCGTAGTATTCTCCGCATTCGCCTACTATATTAACTTCTTTTACATTAACTAAATAGATTAATATAAAATCGTAAAGAGTAAGTCTATTATATCACTGCTGCTGATAACTATCTCCGCAATATTCTCCATAATATTCTCCATATTCGCCTATTATAGATCCTCCTCTTATTTAACTAAGTGCGAGGATATTAAGAGTAAATATATTTATATTAATAGAATTAATAGAATTAATAGAATAGTAAAAGAAGAATAATTACACAAATAGGTGGAAGGATTATTATCCGACCCTAAACGCGTCTAATATAATTATCATATTTTTAAAAGCTTCTTCTTAACGATATTCAGAATCTAATACGCGTTAAAAAGCTTTAAAATAGAGTAATAAAGAACGAATAGAAGAGAAAGATATATCTTAAAAGGTAGCATCGCTAAATTAGAAGACACCATCGCTAACTTAAGAGGAGTATATAGAGAAGAACGTATTCATTCGGGCTCTTTAAGAGTTTTTTAACGCGTTTATAAGTAGTAGTAGATAGCTATTAAGCTCGCTTACGGCCTCAATTATTAGCAATAACGAATTTATCGAGAAATAATCTAGGGGTGTTAATAGAGGCTCTAAGAGGCGGGTAATAGGAATATATATATCTAAAACGTTAAGTAACCTTTAGACGAGGGGTACGGAAGACGATTATATTTATATTAATAAAATTAATAAAATTAATAGAATGATGGAAGGAAGAAGAATAGTTACATAAACAGATGAAAGGATTATTATTCGATCCTAAACGCGTCTGGTGTGGCTACCATAACTATCATATTTGAATATTCATTTAATCTACCAATAGTAGACTAAACTTCATTATTTTTATAGCGTTAGAAAGCGTATACTAAGCTCTATAATTTACAAAATTATAAAGTAACAATATCCTTAGGGAGATAGTTATTTCAGAGTATAAAACTTCTATATACGAAGTTTTAATAAGAGAAGCGCGGGAGAACTATCGGGCTAACTCAGCCGATCTAACTAAAAAGCGTATAGAACCCGAATTTATAATTGGCTGCACATACAAATTCAAGGTTTTCAAGCTTAGCCCTACCTTATTCTATTATATATACTAATATATATATAAGCGTATTAAGAGATAGTAATATTAACTCTAGAATACTTTAAATTATAATTAGACTATTAATATTAATATCTAATTACTTTTAATTAATAACTATTAATTTAATAATTAATATATAATTTTAAAATTAATATTAATATAAAATAATTTTATTTTTAATAGAATTAAGTATTCTAATTTAGCGAAAGCTAATAAGATTTAAAGAGGTTTTAATAATATAATTTAATTATATAATAATATAATTATATATTTAATATATTTAGCGAGTTTAATATTTCGACTAAAAGCGATATATTTTAACTCGCTTAAAATAAAGACGATAGCGACTCTTAGCCCTTTATATTATTAATAAATTATACTTATTTAAATTTATAACTATTTTAAAAGAAAAAAATACTCTTATTAAGAAGATTAAAAGAATATCTTTA